TCCCTCCCGTCCCTCTACGACCTCAGCAGCTGCCCCCTTGGCCGCGCCTCCCCCGTCCCTCCCGTCCCTCCCGTCCCTCTACGACCTCAGCAGCTGCCCCCTTGGCCGCCGTCCTCCCTGCTTTCTTATCCACCTGTTAGATCGTTACTTCGTACTTGCCGTCTTTGACTTGCTCTCGCCATTCGTCTTAAGTCCTCTTCTGCTCTCCGAATCTGTTGGAAGTGGGACTGAAATGCTTGTAAGAAACGTGTTTGGCAAGTCTTGTGATCCCATTCGTGTGATCCCATTCCATTCGTAAGAAGCGTGCTTGGCAACCCTTGCGATTCCCCTCCCCCTCCCCGTCCCCCCCCGGGCTTGTTTAGGTCCATGCTATGCTTTTTTGTTTCAAGCTCTTTTCCCCCTTGTGGATGTAAAACTTGCCAGGTTACGTTTAGGTAATCCACGTATTGCCCTAGCGGGTCTGATTCATGTTCCTGATTGGGAAAGTGATCTGATCCATTGATCCATAGATTGTCTGATCACGGGTTAATTCGCGTGATCATGAGGTAGGTATCCCATTGCCAATTTTGATCAGATGTTCCATGACAACCATTGCCGTTGGGGAACAATCTAATGATCTTCAAGACAAATGACCAGTTTGTGATTGGCTGCAGGTAACCCGTGATGATTCGTGAAATGGCCCTCAATATTTTTGGTATGTCATGTACATTGGTCTTTGAGAGTCGAAGTGAGCCTGAAGTGGCTTAATCCTTGAATTTGGTATGTGGTGTAAGGTCCCAATTACCTGATCGGATACCTGATCAGGTCATCCATGGATAGCCTGATCACGAGTTAATTCACGAGATCAGTAGGTAATTCACCGAAAGTGTGATCGGATGTTCCACGACAATCATCCCCCCCCCAAAAAAATTCTGATGATCTTCAAGATAAATGATCCATTTAATTGGCTTTAGTTAATCCCTGATGATTGGTGAATTGGCTGTCAATTTAGTCCGGAAATTTGGTATGTAGTCTTAAGGTCCAAATTAGTCTCATCAAAGCCTTACCTGGATGACGTGATCAGATACCTGATGAGGTCATCCATGGATTGCCTTATCACGAGTTAATCCACAAAAAAAAATCTAATGATGTGCCAGATAAATGATCAATTTAATTGGCTGTAGATATTAGCCCCTGATGATTCGTGAATTGGCCTTCAATTTCATCCTGAAATTTGGTGTGTGGTGTAAGGTCGCAATTAGTCTCAAAGCCTTGCCAGTCCGGGATCTGCGAGTGGCTTTTACTCGCTTCGTATCCTTAAGAGTGTCGAGGTTTCAAACCGGCTTTTTTAATAGATCTCCGAGAGCCTTTGAACAATTAAAAATGCACTTGACCTGCGTGTGTGCCTAGGTGCTTGTTAGTTTAGTGTTGGGCCCAAGAGGGAGAGACTTACATCTAGAAGATCTGTTAATTCTTAAATGGAGGATTCAATACAGACGGGATGCATTCGCGTTGTGTGTCTGTGATTTTCTCTTTTGCGTCTCTTCGCCTGAAAGCTGTCCTCTGCCGTAGTACGAGAGATTGCCCGCAGAGGTCAACCTGGCAGGAGACAAGGACCGACTGCATCATAGAGTCTGTATTTGGAGGCGTGTTCCATCCACTGTGACGTCAACACCGGTGGTTCTCAGCCCTTGATCTCATGAAGGCAATCCTCGCGTCCTAAGGTGCTCATTGCCACGAGCGCTTGAAGTGCAATCTGCATGCGGCAGACACACACACACACACACACAGACAGACACACAGAGAGGGCGCGTAGTTCTCTGCATCATGACCGGTAGTTGCATGATTTATGTTAGTGAGTAGTGAATCGAGTGGCTATGGTTCGCGCAGTGCAAAGGAGAACGCAACGCAAGGTGTAGTTTAACGCGATAATGAATGAAGTACGTCGTTACTTGATGTAACTGGATGTATGCATATGTTCCAAAAGGCAAGGACACCTATATAAAGGAGGAACAAGTGTGCACCACCTTCCTTTACCTCTGTTCTTCTTCCGGTCGGTGCCCCTGTATACACTGTAGCGGCCCTGCCCCTACGAGCCATCCTGTCACCTGTTTGTGGAGTGTGATCGGAGGATGCGCCTCTGCCACACACCTCACCCAAATTATTCATGTACTGTTTACGGCCGTTAGTCGTCCTCTCGTCTCCTACTGTTTGAAGACACATGCATTGTGCAACCCGACCACTGCCCTTCCCCCCAATCTGCTCTGCCGGCCTTGTCTCTGTTCTCCCTATCTCCCCTCCTGGTGCTAAACGTTCAAAGCAACTCGGCCTGGCCAGTGTCAGCAACCACTGCCCCTCACGCCAGTCTGTTGTGCTGGTGAGTACAAAGTCTTTCCACTCTCCTCCTCTCGTTTCCTCCTCTCGTTTCCTCCTCTCGAAGTCCTTTCTCTCTCCTCCTCTCGTCTCCTCCTCTTGTCTCCTGTTCTCTCCGATAAGTACTGAGTCCTCTACTGTGCCGAAGTGCGAAATGTTCCTCCTCTTCCATCCTGTTCCCTAAAAGAACTGCTAAGTCTGAACGAATGAGCATCACCAAGTGTGAGGTGGGCCTCATAACCTGCTGGTGAGTTAGTGAAAGTCCGGGAAAACAGTCTGTCACAGTCTCCACTTTCTCTGTGGAGTTGTGATTAACCAATGAATCCAATCCGATGGAAACTGAAGCCGCATCAGCGTTTTAGCTACTTTTCTGAAGTGGTGCATTGAAGCCATAAGCACATATGGTTGAAGCTGACATGGCCTTGCAGAAAGTGCATATGCCGGCACTCAATCCCAGAAGGTGTAGAGGCCAGCCCCCTCGGGACCTCAGATCAGCCCTTGGGTGCAAATTGGCAAGACCTTAGCTGATAGAAACAAGACCATTGCATACCCGAACACATTAGAAATACACTCTGTTGACGTCCGTTTCTGCCTATCCTCTGCCAAGTTGACGTCCATTTCTGCCTCGACTCTGCTGCTGAGTTCCCACTGAAAAAATAGGAACCAGACTACGCCCTAGGCTTTACAGGTTTTGAGGTTTTGTAATGGGACTTATTGGCCCCAGGTACCATCAGGATTCGAACGCAGGTCTGTTCATCAACAGTTCTTGAGTGTGCCCAGCCACATGGGCTGGGTTGCCTCGTCTTGTGTGACTTGCCAGTGAAGTAGGAACCACACTCGAGCTCCTGTGCATAGAAACGGGACCAGGACTCGTAAGGGAATGTCCTAATTGAAAAAAAAACAAAAGGAACCACGAAATGAAACGGAAAATTAAAGAAAGGAAGCAATCAGATGCCACCCTCCGGGGTCCATTTTATTGATTCCAATCTCTTCCTAGGGTTATACGTTTGTGACTTGCCAGTGAAATAGGAACCATACTCAAGCTCCTGTGCATAGAAACGTGACCAGGACCCGCAAGGGAATGCCCTAATTGAAAAAATAAACAAAAGGAAATGAAACGGAAAATTAAAGAAAGGAAGCAATCAGATGCCACCCTCCGGGGTCCATTTTATTGGTTCCAATCTCTCTCTTTCTATGGTTGTACGTAGGCACCCAGTGATGGCGAACAGGTAGGAACTCATCCCGCTCCAGGTGGGGAAGAGCCCACACACACTGATGAATGAGGAATGAGTCCAGGGAAGCTTGTTTGCATGATTTTGTGATAGTGCTATGCCAAGGGCTGTCCTTAGGGCAATTCACAGCAGATAACAACTATAATGGCCATGCCTTATGAACGTGGGGGATGACTGTCAAGCAGGGACGGACTCATCATGGATGTGCCACAAACACAAAGATAGACGATGAACCCCACAGGACTCGATAACAGCATTGCATTATTGAAATCAGCTGCCACTATCCCAACGGCTATCGTCTACCCCCCCGAATGTAAGTATGGGGATTTATAGTTGTATCTGGCTTGAGGATGCGTTCATAATGTTTGGAAGAAGCCGGTAGCTGTCTTCTACAGTGATAGCTGGTGCTCTCGAACAACGCAGAACAGGCAGCCTGGCACAGCCTAATCACCCACTGCACAGACAGCAACACAGCATTGCATTATTGGAATGAGCCTCCACTATCCCAAGGACTATTGTCTTCGCCTGAACATAAGGTATAGGGAGTTGTAGCCGTATCTGGGAGAAGCCAGTAGCCTTGTTCTACAGCGATAGCCAGTAGCTTTGTTCGACAGCGATAGCCAGTAGCTTTGTTCTACAGCGATAGCCAGTAGCTTTGTTCTACAGAGATAGCCAGTGCTCTCTTGCCAACATGACACAGCGTAAACACCCGGTGCCCAGACGGCAGCCAGGATAGGCCATGCTTGACTGACATTGAAAAACTGGCAGAAAAAGGAGCAGGCACCTTGCTTTGCCCCCAAGAGCCTAGCTCAGTGGGTACACCCATGAACTGTTGAAATATATAGACCTGTGTTCGAATCCAGATGATGGAACTTGATGAGTAAAATCAACTACTAATGAAGTGCTTGGGGCCGGTCAGCTCAATGATAATATCTCAAGGCCGTCGTCCTTTTTTTTTTTTTTTAATTAAAAGGAGAGCTCAAAGACGATATAAAAAACGAACCGGGAAAAAAATCCAAAAGAAAGAACTACACATCCATTAAAATTGGAATGATACAGAGAAAATTAGCATGGCTGCGGTGCAAGGATAACATACGTACATCGAGAAATGGTCCATTTCACATGAAAAGGCCACCGGAACGGCATTGATGTGCTTGATGCTGTTGGATCCTTGTGCATTTCCTTGGCAACAAAACGTGATACAGAGAAGAATGTGGCCGCGACGCTCGTGAAAAATGGTCAGGAAAAAGCACTGTGAAAGAAAGCAATACGGACGCTCCCCAATTAGAACCTCAAAATCCTGATCGCAAAATGCTTGCCTTCAAGTCCATAGTCAGAATCTACTTTTTGATTAACTTGCATGATCTACCCGCAGCCGTCAAGCCGAAACCCTTCAGCATTGGGTCACACACAGGCTGGTGCTCTCATCTCACTTAGAATGGTGAGAGAAAAAAAAAGAAAACACATGGGTGAGACCCCTTGCATCTGCTTGCCTGTGTTCAAACCTGTCAGCATTCTGGGTTACGCGTGTGTACTCTCATTAAAAACCAAACCCTAAACCCTACATCTGTTAAACCCTCGAAACCAAACCCTAAACCCCACATGGGTCTGGGACTGCTTGCCTTACCGTTTGCTTACCTTAAACCACCAGTACTTCCTCGAGTCGTGCCCATTAACGCGCCACGGTTTTAGGAAACGTACGGGCTACTAATGGAGTGCCCAAATTCATCCGACTAGAAACGTTTCTACTCTTTTTTTTTCCGTGGCCGATAGCTGGGCCAAGTACTGGTGGGTCAAGCTGAAGGCTTCCTATAAACCTACACGGACTATGGTAGTTATAAACCTGGAATGGCTCCGCGCTGGGTACCCATCTGGTGCTCACCATCTGGTATTCTTAAACCTCTAAAACCCTAAATGGTTATGACCTGCATTACACTGAGAACAACTTAGCAGGGCACAGTGCCTATGTGACGGGACTTGTTGGCATCGACCACCAATCAGATGTGTTGTGGCTTTTTGTACGTTGGGACATTTCTTTGAAAATCGGGACAGTACAGAGAAAGTATTATTTAGCATGACCCCTGCACACTGATGGAAGATGGATAATTAGAGAAATTGATAAATAATGTTTAAAGAAAGGACGAAGTGGTTTATGATATGGCCGGTCTGATTGGACGTTCATGTTCACTCAGCCTCCTAACAGTGATGACGACAATCTCAGACCCTTACTTTGGGTCACACACCTGTCCCAAGGTTTCTCGGCATCACACACCTGCCCAGGTCTGGTTTGCTGGGCGCCAACCCTTACTCTGCATTATCTCCTTTTAGACAACAGTGTTAAACGTATCGGGACCACGACCCAGTGCCTTTGGTATCCCTCTCATACCGTTACCTCCTCATCTCCTTGATCTGGCCACATCAACAGAGTTCAGGCTCCGCATTTACCCCGATGACCCCTTGTCATCTATCTGCAACCATGCCTCTTCATGTCCCTGTGGTGAAATGCCACTTACCTGACGTTCGTCTGGTTGGTTTTGACAATAATGCTATACTTGATTGTGTGCGTGTGTGTTTTTTGTGTGTGTGGGTGCGGTTGCGGTAGAAGAGTGCTCCTGTGGTGGAATGTCACTTACGTGATGTTCCTCTGGGTGGTTGTGGCACCAATGTCACACTCGATTGATGTTTGTATCTGTGTGTTTTTGTGTGTGTGTGTGTGCAGGTAGAAGATGAGGAGCATGTGTTGGCTCTGGCACAGTTCATGCTGGTCAAGCCTGGGATAACGCTTGCTGCTGGAACCTGCTTCCGGCCTATGCTTCTCCACCTTGTGGAGAGGCATGTTCAAGCTTTGAAGTGTGGGTCAACAAGTTTGTTTGAGAAGTATCGGTCACAGGAGAGGAATGTTAAGGGAGGGCACAGCTCACACAGCCGAAATACGGACTTTGAAAATACATCAGTTGCATTGAGCTTTTTGCTTTGCTTGTGTCCGCAGCTGCTAGGGTAAGACATTCCATGCACCATCCTCTATCTGCTGCTCCCCGGATGTTGAGGCTGGTGATTGTTTGCTTTCCTGTCACTGTTCATGCTACACAAATTTCGTTGAGAAATCAGAGTCGACGATTTCAGTGGTGCCAATTCAGTCCACGATTTGAGTGGGTGCCAATTCAGTCCTAATAGAAGTTCATAGGGCATGGAAGGATGGAAAACCTCTCACAGCTCGTTCATATGAGAAACTGCTGTTCCGGTCAGTGTGGAGAGTTTTGACAGAGTTGGATACGGAAGCAAAACCCCAAAGAGGGGGGAGGGGGGGCGAGGGGGTGCAAGTGATGCCTTGTTTGCAAAAGTCGATGAGCTTGGTGACCATTTTGCTTCTCTTACCCAGCATATGTTGTGAAGCAATGGTCTACAAGGGCTGAGACGATTAGGGGAGAGAGGAGAGAGGTTGAAGTGTGAAAAGGACTTGGTGAAATCGAGGAACAGGAGGCTCGCACCTCTGAGGCCAGCTTGGGAGTAAAATCAGGAACATTCTAGACAAGACAGACATTGTATATTGACTGAATCTCCATAGTATTGCACAAATCGGGTTCCTCTCTATCATGTAAGTAAAGCACCTACACATAAAAGAAGGGTAGAAGAACCGGAATCACTTGTTCAGTCCTCTAAAAATTGCATCTATCCCAAATGTGTTTTCTGAACTTTTCTCATTAAAGTCACGAGTTTATGTTACGTGCTGTTAAAATTGAACTCTGTTAATATTTTCTGTTTACCTGGATCATATGTCGGGTCAATTATTTGCTTCATTCGTACAAACGGATGCCCCGCTGCTCCCGCGGCGGGGCCCAAGAGCACGGGGAAAAAAAAGAAAACCAGAACGTTGCAATGGGAATGAATCTTCCGCTAGAGCACGGTACACCAGTCGCTCTCTCTCTCTCCATCTCGGTCCTCCTCCCTTCTTTCGAATCGTCATCCTTATCAGAAACAAAACAAAACAAAACGTACTCGTCCTCCGGTTCCTCATCGGCCCCTGCCACTGGCTTTCCTCCTTGCCCGTCCCGCCGTTCTCTCTCCATTTCGGTTCTCCTCCCTTCTGTCGATCGTTCTCTTCATCTGCTCCCGTTCTCAATCCGTTTCCTTTGCTCTCTGCTCCTGCATCCTCTCCAGATCGTCTTCCAATCGTGCCGTTTCCGTGCCACTTCTGCTCCTCCTCTTCGCTTCTCTGCATGGTCACCCGCTGTCCTCTTCACTTCCCTCCCCGCTCGTCCTGCCGTTCTCTCTCTCTATCTCGGTCCTCCTTTCTGTCAATCGCCCCCTTCCTCTGCTCCCGCTCTCGATCATTTTTACTGATAATGCTCCTTACCTCCTCGCCCATCCCACCATCTTCTCTCTCTACCTTGCTCCCTGATGGCCTTCCTTCCTTGCTCCCTCTCGCTCGTCTCCCTTGCTTGCTTCATGGTCTTCCTCTCTGGCTCTCCCTCACTCTTCTCCTTTTGTTCCTCGCTTTCTAACGCTCATCTCCACATCGACATTTCCCACCTGCCAACCCGAAACTTCAGTGGGCCCATATTCTCTGATCTTGCGACCGCTTCCCAACCCAAAGCTGTGTCCTCCTTCGTCGATGTCACATCGGATGCTCTCTCTCTCTCTCACACACACACACACACACACGTTCACACCTGGCGATGTTACTTCCCCACCTCGCGTTCACATTTGCCCTCCTTCGTTGATGTCGCCACGTCAGATGCTCTCTCCCTCACCTCCCCACTTCATGTTCACTTCCCGTCCTGCTTAGTCTGTCTGTCTGTCTGTCTCTCTCTCTCTGTGCAAAATGAGAATGAATCTTCCTCTAGAACATGGAAAGATACACCACTTCTTTCCAGCCCTTCTTCCCTACCTTTCTCTTTAAATGTCTGTCCATGGCACCTCACCTTTCCAACATGCATCTCCCTTGCTGCTCTCCGATTCCCACCTCCAGCTCGACCCCCCTCACGATTTTCCTTCTTCAATGGCTCGTCAATGGTGGCATCTCTCTCTCTCTCTCTCTCTCTCTCTCTCTCTCTCTCTCTCTCTCTCTCTCTCTCTCTCTCTC